GGGAGCTCCACCGAAGGCCCCCGTGAAGGTGTTCGCACGCCCCCCCCCACCCAGGACAGCGTTTCGTGGCTCCATGGGGAGCTCCACCGAAGGCCCCCGTGGGGGTGTTCGCATGCGTTCCCCCCACACAGGACAGCGCTTCGTGGCCCCATAGGGAGCTCCACCGAAGGCCCCCGTGAAGGTGTTCACACGCGCCCCCGCTACCCAGGACAGCGTTTCGTGGCTCCATGGGGGGCTCCACCGAAGGCCCCATTGGAGGTTTTCGCACGCGTCCCCTCCACCCAGAACAGCGCTTCGCGGCCCCATAGGGAGCTCCACCGAAGGCCCCCGTGGGGGTGTTCGCATGCGTCCCCCCCACCCAGGACAGCGTTTCGTGGCTCCACAGGGATCTCCACCGAAGGCCCCCGTGGGGATGTTCGCATGCGTCCCCCCCACACAGGACAGCGCTTCGTGGCCCCATAGGAAGCTCCACCGAAGGCCCCCGTGGGGGTGTTCGCATGCGTTCCCCGCACCCAAGACAGCGCTTCGTGGCTCCATGGGGAGCTCCACCGAAGGCCCCCGTGGGGGTGTTCGCATGCGTCCCCCCCCACCCAGGTCAACGCTTCGTGGCCCCAGGGAGCTCCACCGAAGGCTTCCGTGGGGGTGTTCGCAGGCGTCCCCCCCTTCGGGGTGGTCTTGGAGTCCGCTGGCCTGGCCGATGCCGATGCCGCCCTCCCTGGTCTGGGAATTGTCGCCGCCCCCTTCCGCTGCTGGTGCATCCGCTTGCTCACCTGGGGCGGCTGCACCTCCCTGCGCCGGTTGTGGCGGCCATGGCACCGGCACTGCTGCCGGCCGGGCTGGCGCCGCGCCGGCGTGGGCCAACAGGCTCGCTTGCGCTGGTGCCAGTGCCTGGCCTGCGGCCTGTGGGGCGGCATGTCCCGCTGTTTGTGCCAGTGAGGCAGTGGTGATGACCGCCGCGAGGGCCTGCTGGATGTTCGCCATCTGGGTGGCGAGGCCAATAACCTGGGCTGCCAGGTCGATGTTGGTCGCTTGCATGGCTGCGATGCACGCTGCCGTGCCTGGTCGGGACTCTGGTTGGCCCTTGTAGGCGTCTTCGTCGATGCTGGAGCTGCTTCGGGTGCTGCTGGTACCTCCTGTGCCTGGGCAGGTTTGTCATCCGTGTTCACGTTTTTGCCGTCATCCTCGTCCTCAAGGTGCTCGAGGTGCGATAACAGATCCTCCACTTTCTGCACGTCCTCGAAGAGTGCCTGCGTGAGGGCGACTGCCTTCTCGTGTTCGTCGAGCGCTTGGTCTTCAGCCCTCTGGGCATCACTCGAGCGCTTCCTGATCCTGTCGACGTGTGCGTGCTGCTGCTCTGTGCGGGCCTTGGTGTCCCTGGCGCACATGATTCAGGAGAGGAACAAGCACACAGACACAATTCATCGTCGATTCCCCAGAAACTATGGGAGAATATGGGAAGTGGGGGGGAAGACAAACACCCAGAAGATACGGGAATAGATGGGGAATCCTGTTTATTTGTGTCTGTCTATGTGTGCGCCCTGGGCCCCTTCAGTGATCATGTAGAGGGCGACTGCGCAGTCCTGCTCGAGCTCTGCAGTGCGGGCCGAGCGCTGGCCTCTCTGGTAGGCGCCGCTGATTTGCTTCTCCAGTCCGTCGAGGCTGACCTTCGACGGATCGTGATGCACAGGGGGGTGGTCTCCCACCGCGGCCGCGATCCACGACGCGATCGACAAGCCTGGCAGGCGCTGCAATTTCCCGACGCCTGAGGGGGTGCGCAGGAGGTGGTCGCCCACCGCGGCCGCTATCCACGAAACTGTCGAAAAGCCTAGCAGGCGCGGCAATTCCTCGACACCAAAAGAGGTGCGCTGGGAGTGGTCTCTGGTACGGCTTCTTTCCACCACGTTGTCGAAAAGCCTAGTGGGCGTGGCAATGTCTCGACGCCGCGCGGGTCGCAGTGGGTGGTCGATGAGCAGTGACATCCTTCTTCGACGCAGGCTTAAGTCGGGCCTGTCCCCCTACAGGGGTGATTTTGGGCGGGACATTAAACATAACCCACAACAAATACCCCAAACATGAAGGACAAGTGCTCAAAAGATAGTCCCCAGACCAGATTATTTTTGACTGCTTTTGAATGTTCCCCCCTGTAGAGGGACAGGCCCGACTTAAACGTAGGCATTGGCAACCATAGTCGATGCTTCATGGCGTCTTCTGGCTGTTCTGGACGTGGCAACGGTGGTGCGAGTTGGTCTCTCGATCTCCTGTCAGGAGCGTGTGCTGACCTGGCCCGTCTAGGGCCGGGCCCTCCTGCTGAGTCTTCTTGCCACCATTGCCCTTGAACTGGCTGCACTCGCTGACCACTGTGGCTTCCTCGTGCGAGACTGGTAGAGCCACGGCGGCGTAGATTCGACCTCGTCGGGTGCTGTGCCTCTTCTGTCGTCGGGTACGGGCAAGCAGAATCTGCATTTCTTGCTGGAATAACTGTCCGTCCGCTCACACGTGCTGCATGTCCAAAACTTGGCCTGCGGACGGCTCGCTCGATGGCTGGACTGCACCATCGAGCTGTGATGCCGGTCGAGCATCTCTCTGGCTGCTGCGACGGAGGAACGCTCTTGGGATCCTCCTCTGTGCTCTCAATCGGCGGTGCCACGCTGGCCTGAATCTGCGGCGCATGGTGGCGAACGTCCCCTCTTAGGGCACGGCCGTCCAGACGCTGTATGGCGGGTCGGTGCGTCTTGCGGCAGTCCCGAGAGGCTCGCAGGTTCCTGGAACCTGCACCCAAAGCCTCGGGCCGGGGCGACAAGTAGGATTGAAGGAGGGAGGAGGGGGAGGAGGAAAGTGAGGTGGGACGCGGGGCGTTGCCTCTTCAGAACGAGGACCCAGCACCACAGGATGGTTGGAAACAAACAAAAGCACTGAATACATACATATATATATATATATAGTTCGAACACAGTATTGCGAAGGATCTTCCACTAAATATATCATTACCAATTCCCCCTTAGTAACGGACCCATGAGCAATGAGTACGTACTACGAGGGTCCTGACTGAGGGGAACCGTACGAGGGGCGTCCTTACCGTTTTCAGGACCCCTTTTTCCAAAACGCATCCATTGTTAACAGGATGTCTTAAAAAGAGATCCGTACTACAGGAGTCCTTGCTGACGGGAGCCTTACTCAAGGCATCCCCACCAAGGAGGCTTTATTACAAGCAGTCGTACCAAGATCCTTGAATCGTTGTGTCTTTGCTCACGGGCATGACAGAAGTAAGCAGTAGAAAAGGGATCATGACTACAGGAGTCATGACCGAGAGGACACTTACTGAAGTAATCCTCCTGACGGGGGCTTTACGACAAAAGTAGTACTACTAAGCATCCGTTGCTTGAGGCATTCGTGCCTAGGGACCTGTTGTACAGGAAGCATGCGCAATGATTCCTTACTGCTGGGGCCCATTCGTGAGAGAACCCTTGCCAAAAACACGTCCTCACAAAAAGGACTTGTCATACAAAAGGAAACGTACCAAAGACTCCCCATACTTACTAACGAACGCTTGCTGAGAGGCTCCTGGTTGAGGACTCCCCACTACAAGGATACTTACTCAGGATCCCATGATAAAAAGCAAGGCTTACGAATGAGGCATCAGGAACATATGCACGAAGCCTCTCCCATTCAAAGGAATGATCACTGAGGATCCCTGCGAGTTTCGCAGGGGGGATTCGACTCTTGAGCCGAACTCATCATGGAATGCGAGTCCCAGACCCCCGACGTCACAATGATTTGACCGCATGGACGTTTGGATGTCCCGATCATTTCCCCAGGGACGGATGTTCTTATTCCAGGTATGCTTTTACGTTTTCGGGCTCGGCGAGGGCACCTAGAGGCAAAACAATGGGAAACATTTGGTGCCGCGATTGTTTCACGATTCGAAGGGGTCTTGGGAGGAGGAGGAGGAGGAGGAGGAGGAGGAGGAGGAGGAGGAAGACGAGGACGAGGACGAAAAAACATAAGGTTTTCCATCCCTCCCCGCCCGCACCCAGGGGGCGTCGGATTACCTAGCTACTCCGCCCCTGGGGGGTCTGCCGGTCGCTTCCATCTTCTTTTTCTTTCCAGCTTATAGTTTGATCCACCCCCCCTCCAAGGCAACCGCCCCTAGGGGGGGTGGGGCCTGGGGAAGGCCGCGACAGAATTAACCAGAGGCCACCAGCTCGAGCTCGAGGCGGACGAGGAGCAGGAGGAGGAGCAGGAGCAGGAGCAGGAGCAGGAGCGCTGTCGCTTCTATCCGGCACATCTAGGTGAGGCTCCTTTCGTTGCAGAGCTCTGCAGCTGCAGCTAGGTGGTACGCGTCGGGGACGCACTCGGCGGACTCGGACAGCGGCGCGGCCTCGCCCCGGCCTGCGTGGCGAGGCCTCCTGCGACGCGGAGCTGCTCGATGACACCGACAGCCAGAAGACGTCCCTCCTGCAGCAGGCCTCCTCCTCCTCCCCCTCCTCCTCCTCCTCCTCCTCCTCCTCCTCCTCCTCCTCCTCCTGACCGGGCTCGTCTTGTCGCAGGGGGGGCACCTCCGTCTTTGGGCCTCCCAGAGGTGCTAGGCAGAGAGGGCCGCAGCATCGCACCGTCGGCGTGGAGAACGCCGGGTCCCCTGGAAGGGGTCGGAGCAGAGGAGGCCGGAGAATTGCACCGCATCGCCGATGCGTCGGCGATGCGTCGGCGATGAATCAGCGCCTTCGACGTGGAGAACATCCGGTCGCCTGGAGAGGGTCGGAGCAGGTAGGGTTGGAGGATCGCGCCGCATCGCCGATGCATCCGCGATGCGGCTCGACGTGGAGCCCGATGTTCTCCGCGCTGACGGCGATGCGGTGCGACCCTCCGACGCCATCTCATTACTCGGATCCTCCATTAGAGAGGCCTCTAAAGGGTGTTGGAGGCTCGGTTGGTTCGGCTGTGTCGCATTCGGTTGCGTTTGGTCGATACGGTTCGGTTCGGTCGTATCTTGTGTCGTTGGAGCGTCGCTGCGCCCTCCAGGATGCCTGCGGTCTGTCGATGTCGGCCGGTTTCGGTTTCGCTGTCGGTTCGGTCGGATTTTGGTTTTGTTGTCGCCGTGGGCGGGTCTGTTGACAGAGGGCGAGTGCTGCGAAGATGTCGGAGGGAAGTTCTTGAAGTCGACGAGGGAAACTTGTAATGGCGTAACCGTTGCGCGTCTGGGCGGATTTCTCGGATCGGCGTCCGGCCCCCCGAAACTGAATGTTTATGAAGGTATTGCGAAGGCCTTACGGCCGGTGCCGCCGACCCTGAACGACGACGACGCCGACGAGCGCTCTTGGGGGCCTCTTGGGGGTAGTTTGTGGGCCTCTTGGGAAGCTCTTAGGGGCCGCTTGGAAGCACTGAATGTCTATGAAGTTATTAGGTGTTCCATGGTGGTTTTGTTCCAGCTTCGGGATGCGTTCCTGCAGCTGCGCCTCGCCGAGGGCGTTCCCTGGCTGCCCGAAGTGCCCCGAGCGGCAGCAGGAGAACCGAGCCGCGATCCATCCGAACAGGTCCTGCTGTCTGGGAGGGCTCGTCGAGGCGACGTCCGCCCTCCCCGGCGTGTCTTCGTCCATTTGGGGGGGCATCCCGGGTCCGCCACGCCCGGATGTTTATGCAGTTTTTAGTTGTTCCATGGTGGTCTTTCCAGCTTCGGAATTCCTACAGCTGCGCCTCGCCGAGAGCGTTCCCTGGCTGCCCGAATTGCCCCGAACGGCAGCATGAGAACCCGGCCACGATCCGAACACGTCCTGATTTCTGGGAGGGCTCGTCGAGACGATGTCCGCCCTCCCCGGCGTGTCTCGTCCATTTGGGGGGGCATCCCGGGTCCGCCACGGCTGGATCCGCCACGAGCGAATTACAGTCGGGGCCCTGAAGAAGGAACGTTTTTCGTTGGGGAGAGGCTCGGTGCCCCTTGATTGTTTTACAGTTTGCCTCGGCTTCCCTTGGAGTTCCCATGGAAAATCGATGTTTAACTTATGGAAAAGAGGAGCCTTGTTTCTTATTTAGGGTTCCTTAGGTCAACGCCCCGACTGTACGGGGTAGATTGCGCGCGGATTCAGCCGGGCGCGAGATCCGCCATTGTCTCAAAAGTGGTTATCTTCCGAGTCTCTTGAGTCCTTCGTGTGACGGCCCCGCGGCCCGGGGAGGGCCTCCAGAGCTGGAACGAATAACAAGAACATATCGGCGCCGATTTGTTTCACGACGCGAGGGGGTCCGCGAGGAATCGCAGGAAGAGCAGGACGAGGATAGAACAGGATGAGTGAGGGATCAGGAGGCTCAGGAAAGCACAGGACCCAGACCCCCGACGTCAGTTCTTTTCCCAACCATCTTGTGGTGTTGGGTGCTCATTTTGAAGAGACAGCGCCCCGCGTTCCCACTCCGCCTCTCCCTCCTCCCTCCTTCCATCCCCGCGCTCCATTTCGTCACACCACCCCTCACACGTTTGGTGGCCCCATAGGGAGCTGCGCCGAAGGCCCTAGGGGCTGCGCTCGCATGCGCCCGCCACACCCATGTCGGCACACCCCTCACACGGTTCGTGGCCCCATCGGGAGCTCCACCGAAGGCTCCAGTGGCTGCGCTCGCATGCGCCTGCCGTGCCCATGTCGGCACACCTCTCGCACGCTTCGTGGCCCCGTAGGGAGCTCCACCGAAGGCCCCAGTGGCTGCACTCGAATGCGCCCGCCGCACCAATTTCAGTACACCTCTCGCACGCTTCGTGGCCCCATAGGAAGCTCCACCGGCAGCCCCAGTGGCTGCGCTCGCTTGCGCCCGCCGCATTCATGTCGGCACACCCCTCACCCGCCCATGTCGCTACTCCCTCACACGTTTTGTAGCCCCATCGAGGCTCCACCGAAGGCCCCAGAGGTGATGCTCGCATGCGTCCGCCCCACCAATTTTGGCATACCCCTCACACGGTTCGTGGCCCCAGAGGGAGCTCCGCCGAAGACCCCAGTGGCTGCGTTCGCATGCGTTCATCGCGCCCACTTCGGTACATTCGGCATACGCTTCGTGGCCCCATTGGGAGCTCCATCGAAGACGATACTCACAACTGCGTTACTCGTAACTGCATATGGTTGGGCCCTTCGCCAGGCTAATTATCAGCCCGGGTCCCCCGAAGTCCCCACCCTTTCCCTGGGACCGGTTTTGTCCACCTCGAGTTGTGTATTGACGGTCCCACAGGGCCTTGTAAGGGCCCCCGGAGGCCCGGGACGGCCAAGAATTTCTTATGATTTTCCCAGGGCGCGAGCGTGTCTGGAAGCTGCTTTTTGTTAAGGGTCCGGCGTGGAGCCGGGATCGGGCCCGCCCGCTCCCCCCTTTTCCTCGAGATGATTTGACCTTGTCGGCTGCGCAGGTCCCAAGGGGGTACTCTTGGAGGTGGGCAGACCTCCTACCCTGACGCGTCGACGATGGACTTGGCCGTTTTCGGTTCGCGAGAGGGCGTCGCGGCCGTCATTTTTGCGGGTCCAGGTCCGTCGATGTCGGTCCCGGGCCGTTTTCACTAAAGGGAGGTGTACTGAAGGGAGGTTTGTCCACCGCCGATACTCAGCAGTGGTGCGCGCGGGCATACGTTTTCTTCGAAGGCCCACGAGGCAGAACGCAACATGGCCGCACTCAGGCGGCATCAGTAGCAGCGGCCTTCGCTGCCGCTTCTCTCTCTCTCTCTCTCTCTCTCGAGTCCGAGTCGCAAGCGCTTGCATAGCAGGAGTGGCAACTAAGCACGAGCGAGAGGCAGACGGTTTACTGGATTGTTGCGCAGTCGCTGCCTCGAGAATTGCCTCGGCCGAGCGTCTGCAAGGCTCCGACACAAGAACAGCATTGTGGCATTGTGGATGGAGGCCTTGCTTAGTTCTGAGCAAGGTCTGAGCACCGCTCTTACCCCGTTTATTCAAACAAGTTTCGCCCGAGAAAACACACCTGTTGGACGAGTAGGCCCCGCATCTATAGCAAAACACTGAGGTGCCCTGGTCCTGATTAGCAGTCATGGCACATGCAAGAAGCTGTCCCCTCACTTCGGCATCTTTGAGATGCCTGAGCGCCGTGGGGAGTCCTCGACAACCTCAGAGCCCCGAATCATCAGGGGTAACTCGGGTCAGGGCTAACTCGGGTTCGCTTTTCGGGATTCCGAACCCGAGTTACCCCGGGCCCGAGTTACCCCGGATAACTCGGGCGTCCAGAGCCCCAAATCATCAGGGGTAACTCGGGTCAGGGCTCACTCGGGTTCGTTCTTCGGGAATCCAAACCCGCGTTACCCCGGACCCGAGTTACCCCGGATAACTCGGGTGCCCAACAACCCGCCATCGACCGATTCTGGCCGAAGGGGATTACAAAACACCGCGCGCACCTCCAGGCCACCCCCGGGTCGATCTCACGCCAGCCGTGCCGGCTCGGATCTCCGATCGCCGGGGTCCGGTGCCGTTTTGGCGCGCTCCTGAATTATTTCGGGGGCGTTCCGGTGCCGTTTTAACGCGCTCCTGGAGCGTTCTGGGGGCATGAGCCGAACGTCGCGCTTGTTTTTATTTGTGTGTATTTATTTGTGTGTCCTGGGGCCCCTCCAAAAACACCGCGCGCACCTCCAGGCCACCCCCCGGGTCGATCTCACGCCAGCCGTGCCGGCTCGGATCTCCGATCGCCGGGGTCCGAGTGCCGCGAGGAAGGCGACGGCACTCCAGCATGGGGCAGCAGGATAGCACAGCACCGAACATCTTTCAGGAGGGAAGAAAACACACAGACACGATGAATCGTCGACTCCCAGGAAAATATGCGAAAATATGGGAAGTGGGGGGGAAGACAAAAACCCAGAAAATATTGGAAAATATGGGGAATCCGGTTATTTGTGTGTATTTATTTGTGTGTCCCAGGGCCCCTTCAATCTTAGCAAGCTGGGCAGTCTGCTTTACACACACGCCCAGGGCCCCTGAAGTCTCATGAGGGGCCCCGGGGTGCAGGGTGGGAGCATCGTTAGCCAGCCTATCAGCATCGGCACTTCTCAGAGCCCCGAATCATCAGGGGTAACTCGGGTCTGGGATAACTCGGGTTCCTTTTTCGGGAATCCAAACCCGAGTTACCCCGAACCCGAGTTACCCCGGATAAATCGGGCGTCCAGAGCCCCGAATCATCAGGGGTAACTCGGGTCAGGGCTAACTCGGGTTCCTTTCTCGGGAATCCAAACCCGAGTTACCCCGGACCCGAGTTACCCCGGATAACTCGGGCGCCCAAATGAGGGGCCCCGGGGTGCGGGGTGGGAGCATCGTTAGCCAGCCTATCAGCATCGGCACTTCCCAGAGCCGTGCGACGCTCCAAGATCGGCGAGGCTAAAATCACCTCCTCCGCCCTCTGGGAAGGGGTACAGGACGCGGGCCCTAAAGGGCCCTCAGGATTCCGCTTATGCGCAAGCCCACAGTTAAGTCGGGCGTGTCCCTCTACATGAGGAATATCAAAAAATCAAACAATAGTCTGAGGACTATTGTTTGGGTACTTCAGGGCATTGTTGGAGTATGTTTGGAGTATGTTTTATGTTTCCTCACAAATCCGCCTGTAGGGGGACATGCCCGACCTAAGCCTACGGAGGCCCGCAAACATTTGCTTAGGGTCAAGTTGCTCCCGACGGCTGGCATTGTGGAGCCTAACTACGCCAGCACAGCCGCTGTGAGGAAATCATGGGAAATCGGTCGTAAGACAACTCAGGGAGGCCACACCTAAATGTTCCGCCGCCTGGGGAGCTGGAGCACTTTGAACACTGGCTGAGACGCTGAACCATCCACTACTGGCTCACATCCGCGAATGAGCTCAAGAAATTCCTCGACCTCAACTTCCTGGCCGTCAGCATTTTGGAGGACAGGGTCGAGATGCTACGAGGGAGCAGGAACATCAGGCTGCGGCAGGATGAGGCGAGACCATAATAGTCGCTCTGAGGGGGGGGCGCCTTAGCAGCATCAAACATGTCTTGACTGGCGTGCTCCAGTCGGCGCTCCGAAACATGCTCGTGCATACATGACCACTGCCTGTGGAACACGGAGTCTGGTCCACCGCACAAGTCACACAAACCCCCGTGATCGTACCCGCACTCAACCAGACGATCCCCCGTCCAGCAGGCTCCTGAACAAACAGTAGACATCCAGTACTTTTGCCTAGCCGTGAATTTCTGGAAACGGAATCACTTGGCCACGGGGTCAGGACGGACTTTTTCATCGCCGAAATCTGGGAGACCTGCCGCCATCGTACGCTCCAGACTGCGCTGGACTCCAGCCTCCAGCTGCTTAGCTACAGGGGCAGGGGAAGTGCACATAAGGTCCACAACGAAGTCGCGATCATCTCGCCATATCGCAAAATCAACTGCATCGCTGCCATCGTCGAGCTCGAGCTCGCTTAGCAGAACCTTCCTGACCTGGTGCTAGATCCACGCCCAGCGACACGGTCGCGTTCGTGGCCGTGGAGGGGCACAAGGGGACAAACAACGCTTCTGAACCCTCGCGGCGAGCTTCTTCTTGCTGGAGGAGGCGAAGGACACCGCTTTGTCCTCCGCCAAATGCATTCAGATCTCGGGCTGCCTGAGTGAGGGCGGGAAGGATGACCTGTTCAGGACCATCTGCTGACACCGTACAGTCGGGGCCCTGAAGAAGGAACCCTTTTGGTTGGGGAGGGGCTCCGTGTTCCTTGATTGTTTCACAGCTTGCCTTGGGTTTTCCTTAAGCTTTCGATGGGAAATCGAACTTTAACTGATGGAAAAAAGGGGGCCTCGTTCCGTATTCAGGGTTCCTTAGGTCAACGCTCCGAGTGTATCGTCGTCCCGCGCGGGCAGACGTGGCGCTGTGCAGGGCGAGGAGGGTCGGGTATCGGCTGGCACCTCCCGCTTCTCCCCCTTTTTCGGCCGTTGCGTGATGTGTGGGGGAGGGGTCATGAATGGGGTGAAGTCGGGCCTGTCCCTCTGCAGGAGGAATATTCAAACATAGTCCAAGAATAGTGTGGGGACGAGTTGTTGACTAGCTTGGACCATTTGGGAATATTGTTGGTGTACATTCCCGTCCAAAATCCGCCTGTAGGGGGACATGCCCGACCTAAGAATGGGGGGGAGAGAAAAGGTGCACTTTCTGTGCCCCAGACGGGCCCCCCCAGGGCCTCAAAAGGGGCACGAAAGCTGCACGCGTCTCCCCCCCGCTCCGCACCAACTGGATCGCCCGGGTTCTCGCCGAAGTATGGCAGACGATCTCCTGCGTCGCGCCCCCTCCTCCTCCTCCGCCCCCCCCTCCTCCTCCTCCTCCTCCGCCCCCCCTCCTCCTCCTCCTCCTCCTCCTCCTCCTACTCCTCCTCCTCCTCCTCCTCCTCCTCCTCCTCCTCCTCCTCCTCCTCCTCCTCCTCCTCCTCCTCCCCCTCCTCCTCCTCCTGCGCAGCCGGGCGGCCGCCGGCCCCGCCCCGCGCGCCAGAGCCGCGCGTTCGTGCTGGACCAGGGCGTGCAGAGGCAGGCGGCGCAGCAGGCGCGGCCCTCGGCGCAGCGGGGCGGGGAGCTGCTCGGGCTGCCCGCCCTCGGGCAGAGGGGGGGCGCCTGCCTCCGCTCGTGCCTGCTTCCTCGTTTGTCCATTCACCGCAGCCGTTGGCACGAAACCGGTACTCCAGATTTCGTAATAAAAGGGAGGGGGTCTGGACCCTCCAAGAGAAGCCATTTCAGACCCCCCCTCGTGGGAGAACCCTCCAAAACATCGTCCCCAGACCACCCCAGGCCCTCCAAGATAGCTTGGAAGAGACCCCCCCCCCGAAATGAGACCCCCCTCCCTTTATTACGAAATCTGTATCTTCTGCACGAGTGCCCGTGCGCTGATAGAACAACGAGTGCGCAGACTTCTGCTGCGTTGCCTTGAGATTGTCTATTCGTCTTGTTTTGGGGCGCCCTGGCTTGCATCCCATAGGCCTGCCAATCGGAGAAACATAAACATGCACTAAACACAACAACATAGAAAACTAACACAGACTAAACATAAACATAAACTAAACCTAAACTAAACTAAACTAAACATGAACTAACAAAGAAACAACGGCACAAACAAAAACCTTTGGCGCTCCGCGCGGATTTCTTGGGTCTGCGCTGCCCCCCCCCCCCCCCCCCCCCCCCGACGGCGCCTCCGGCACCGCCCTCGGCGCGCTCCGCGCGCCTGGGAGGGGTACCCAGCAAGGGTCCAAGAAATCCGCGCGGAGCGCCAAAAGCGTATGTTTATGCCGTCTGTTCTTTCCCGATACCAAGGAGTGTTATGAGAAATTGCTGTGGTTTGCACGGAGGGCTTATACAGGGCCTTCCTGGCTGAGGCCGTCTTGTTCTGATCCATCGGCATTATGTACTACGAGCATCGATGTTGCAGTCGAAGACGCCTACGGCGAATCACCGCCGCCCCCTGCCTCTTTTTGGAAGCGCCTGCGTGGCCGAAAGTTGGGTTTGAGCTTGGTCAAGCTATCGGGCCACGCGTTCCCCGAGTGGGTTTCGAATGCCTTCGGGGAACACTGAGTCAGGAGAGCTATCGGGCCAGGTGGTTTCCGAGCTTTCTTGGAGCTTCCTGGGGACCTTTTGAAGGCCTCTTGGGAGGCCTCCTTGGGATTCTTGGGGACCTCTGGGAGTTCTTTGAGGGCTTCGATGGTCGTCTTAGGGCGTTCCTGGCCCATCTGACCCCGTCGGAAGCCGTCTATGAGGCCTCTCGGAGCCGCCTTCGGGCCTTCATGGGACGTTTCAGAGCCGTCTTCGAGGCAATCTAGGCATCTTGGAGGCTTTTTCGGCCGTCTTGGGGCCTTCTTGGGGCCGTGTTGGGGGCTTTGGGGGCTGTCATGGGGCCATCTTGGAGGCCTCTTGGGCGCTCTTGGGTCGATGTTGGGGGCCGCTTGGGCCGTCTTGGGCCGTCGCAGAGCTGAAAAGGAGCAACATCAAAATTCCTTCAAAAATCTACGGACAATCTATGATTTTAACCTTGCCGGGCCTTCCTGGAGGACGTCTTGGAGGGCTCTTGGGCCGTCTTGGAGGCCTATTGCGGGCCTTTTGGGCAGTCTTAGGCCATCTTGAGGCCATCTTGGGCCTTCTTGGGTACATCTTGGGGCCATCTTGGCCGTCTTGGAGGCAATCTTGGCCGTCTTGGAGGCATCTTAGAGGCCATCTTGGCAGTCTTGGAGGCCGTCTGGGGCTTCTGAGGGGCCTCTCGGGCCGTCTTGGGGCCTTCTGGGGGCCGTCGTAGGGGCCTCTTGGGCAATCCTGGGGCCGTCTTGGAGGCTTCTTGGGCACTCTTGGGGCGATCGTGATGGCCTCTTGGGCAGTCTTGGGCCGTCCGAAGGCCAAAAAGGAGCCAAAGCCAAAACCCAAATCCTTCAAAAACCATAGGAAAATCAATGATTTTGACCTTTTCGGGCCCTCTTTGAGAACCCTGGAGGACCTCGTCGAGGCCTCATGGACCGTCTTGGAGGCATCTTGGAGCCCTCTGGGGCCGTCTTGGGCCGTCTTAGGTGTTTCGTGTGCGACCTTGGAGGCATCCTGGACTATCTTGGCCGTCTTCGAAGCCATCTTGGACCATCTCGGGCGAACTTGGGGGCCATCTTGTGTCTCAGGATAAGGGAGAAGATGTGGGGCTAAGATGAAGTAGCGGTGATTAACGTGTTTATCTCTCTCGGCTAAGACCCTCCTGAGGCGAGTCCACGGACTCGCGCCCCAAGCCTAAAAGGCTGCAGGATACGAAGAGGGGGGAAGGAGGGGGGAAAGGGGGAGATCCCTGCTGGGCCCAAAGGGGACAGCGGACCCAATTTTAGCGGATCCTGCGGCCGCCGAGGGAGGGGCCCCGCCTGCGTGGTGACGAACGCCGCCGGGCGCAGCCGCCACGGCCGACCTGCCTCCGGGGCGTCCTCTCTTCCTCCTCCTCCTTCCTTCCTTCCTATCTTATTCTCCCGTCTTGTCCTCCTCCTCCTGGCCTCTCCTAGTGGCTTCTTGGAGGACTCCTTCCTGCTTATCCTCCTCTCCCGTCTTCTCTTCCTCCTCTCGGTCTCTCCTGGTAGCTTCTTCGAGCAGGGCCTTCCTACTGGCGCCTCGCGACCGAGACTTCAAGGCTAAATTGAGCGAACGCTCATCGAGGTGACCACTCTCCTCGACGAGGCACAGCGTTCCACGGCACAGTAAATCGTCCCTTGGCCGGATCGGCATGCGTGAGGGGATCGGCGGGCATACGCCCGTGTGGGAGCCATCGTATCTGTGACCCTGTGGCACTCAGGGCATCTCGCACGATCGCGAGCTCGATCGCGTTCCTGCGATCACCTCTGGAACCAGCGGCATTCTTGGACAGAGTATCAAAAACCGATTTAGCGTCAACCACCGACAACGACGACGCCAAAGAACTCAGCTCACAGGAGCTAGACATCATCACTGAGAACGGTGAGGCATTCAAATCCCAGCGAGGTCTTGGGACATCTCCAAACACGGCGTCCCGCCACAAAACCTGCAACCATTGCGATTCAGCAATCGCAGCACTAAGTGAGAGCGTCTCTGCCGCAACGGTGGAGCTGATTGATTCTCTTTAAACGTTGTGAGCGCCACGACAGAAGAGAGACTCGGGCACGACGATTGGCTCTGATCGTCGCATCCGCAGCCATGACCAGCCAGGCCCCCTGCGATCCTCCACGACTGGCGGTCCCCGGGCCCGACGCATCCGAAGCCGAAACGAACACGAGCGATAACGGATCGAGGGCCCAGATCGTCAACTTCTGGCTGGCGGTCGCCTTGAGATACTCTCCCTCCCCCCTTAGCAAGCAGAATGGCGTGCGAGACGAGGGGCGTGGGCATGGCACCCGCCAGGATCGGAGCACCTCCCGCAACATCGGGGCGAGACTCCCGAGCGACCCAATGGACCTGGGCCACTAGGGCCCTGTACGTCTTGATTTCGGAGGCCGTCAGGGGGGACTCGGGGTCCGAGCGACGATTCTTATCGATGGGCATAACCGTCAACTGCTCTCGGGTGTACTCTTCTTGATCCACGGTGATTCGGTCGGGGTACTGCTTTATGTGGCGCCCGGAGTAGTCTGACTCGCGCTCCTTCCATTTTCCAAACTTAAACCGAGAAGTGGCCGCCTTCTGAAACGCCTCCAGGAACGGGGAACGCCCGGTGACGATCAAGTCGTCAACCTCGATCAAAACGAGACCCGAAAGAGCGCCACACTTATCTCGCTTCAGCCACAAACAGGGCTCCAACATTGACTTCACGAATCCTTCAGAAGCCAGACAATCGGTAAGCGTACGATGCCACAAAAGAGGAGCATCGTTGAGGCCGTACACGGGGGCCACCAGCTCTATGAGACAATCTGACGCCACCGGGAGACCGGCACACGGTTCCACGAAGATGGCTCCTTTCGGTCTCTCCAAGCGCTGAGACTGGCAAAATGCGTTCTTAGCGTCAGCGATGGCCAACGTCCATCCGAAACTGGCGGCAATCTGGAGACAGGTCAGGACGCTTTCTGATTTGGGGGTGGGGGCATAGACTTCGAGGGTTTCGCTGTCCGGGTCTTGATGCCCATGCACACACCAGCGTGACTTAGCAATCGCCTGAGCTCCAGCTCCTTCCTGGGGTTTGAAGCGCCTGACCATTCTCGAAGAAAGAATCCTGTCTGGATACCGGCGTCGCGCGGCCTGCGACTCTGCCGGAGTCAAAACTCTAACGGCTCCCGTGCCGAGCATAGACTCCCACTCTTTACTATCTGAAGCCACAAAAAACTCTCTCTCGGATGGGGTAAGATCTTTCAACTTGACCTCGGAGCCCTTCGGATTGACCTTAGTGGCAGGAGTCTGCTAGGCAGAGGCGGCAAAAGATAAAGTCTCGAGAACCTGCGCAGGCTCGTCTCCCGCAGCTCGACCTAAGCTTGCCAAGAAAGACGCCAGATCGGGGCCCCCCTTTTCCGATGACCACTCCAGAAGCTCTCGAAGGAGCTGCTCGTCCTGGAAGTCCTCGGGAGCCTCCCAGCTGCTTCCTCCTGCTTCCGCAGTCTCACCGCCGACGTCCGCGTGTCCCAGGAACGCCCCAAGGTCGGGATCGTGAACGGGTGATCGACTTCGGTATCGGGTGGCCCCTGATGCGGGCTCGGCCGGTCGGGCTCGAGCTCTAGGAACTGAGATGCTCCTCCCGGATCCGATCGCGAGAGGTGCCCTCGCAACCTCGGGGATCTCGGACTCGGGGAGAGCGTCACTCTGGGGGGCAGCCGCAGCGTCGGCGCCCACAGACCCAGGGTCCTCAGCGGGCGGGCCTGCCGGGAGTCGTGGAGGTCCGGCCTGGATGGCCTCCACTCTGTCTCTAACCGAGGGGGTACTGGGGTACTCCTCCACGGGCGTGCGTCGGGGTTTCTTATTGTCGGCCTCGGGGACGGTCCCGGTCCCCGCTCGTCTCCCAACGACCTCAGCCGATCCCAGGACCCTGCTGGCCGGGCCCTCACGGGCCGTCGAGCCAGCTTCCGAAGGGGCCGAGCCGACCAG